TTCCCAGCAAACAAGGAGTCTTAAAGCTGCTGCCTGTCGTTTCTTAATTGGTAACTTTATTAAATCATGGATGATAACCAGTTTACCAAAATTCCCAGCCCTCTCCCTCTTTAGAGTCGGTAAATAGTTCTGAGACGAGGGAACTGAGAGTGCATTTTGTCCTCTGGCTGGCACTCTGAGGGTGGCAGGAACTAGAATATATACTCTCCATTTCCGCTTTCGGATGTAGGCAAGGCAGGGGCATGACAATGCCTTGTTCATATCCGTTCTCCTTCATTATAGAAATATGCCTCATAAATTATAGGCCTTGGCGCAAATAAAGGAGGTCGTGTTTATCTGTTATGCATGGGAGTGCCCCTTAATGTCATCAGTGGGTTTTTTTCCCTTTCCTTACCATATAAGGGCAGAAGTTTAACTTGGCTCTAGTTACTTGGTCTTACACAGCAAGTTGGGTGAAACCTTCTCTGTAAACTACAAGTTTGCATGAAATGAAAAGGGCTGACCTTTGATCATCCCGTGCTCCACTCCGGTTCGGGCAGGACTTTAAAAACATATTCCAGAGGATTAATTTTTAGGATATATTCTTATTCTCCTAAGAAGATTATTTCTTAATAATCTTAACTGGAATACTTTTTTAAGTGAAAGTCATTGCTATTTTTTATATTTTTTTCGTTATCTTAGCTAAAACATCTGGATTTCATGAAAATGTGGGCCTTGTAAAAGTTTTCTTTCAGATCCGATTTGGAGTACTGTTTTGCTGTATTGGGCAGACATGTCCTCGACTTCCGTGTATTACCTGTTGGGGATGGGGGGAGGTGTGTGCCTGCCCTTGTTTTCTGTACAGGTGCCCTGGGGGCGGAGGGACGGGGCAGGCACCTGCTCCTTGAAGGCCCCTCACAAGTGCGGAGCATCACAGATCTGCAGGAAGACAGTTGTTAGCCTTTACTAATGTAGCAGTCTCTTTTCTGAGCAGCTCGTTACATGTTGGGACACAATAGCACTTTTGAAATAAAAGAAACTAGCATCCCAAATTAAAAGACTTCGCCCGCAGTGTCAACACACGGGCCATTGTTAGAAGCAGCTAACCCAGTGCACTGAGGGTGATTTCCATGCCTGGAAGTAATTTGTGTCTGAGGTCTTGGCCCTTCCCGAACGCCTGGTTATGTATATCTGCTTTTTAAATAACAGATGGTCTTGCGGCTGTGGGCTTGCCCTGGCGGAGGCGACAACAGGTTAAATCTTAAGTAGACTGCCCAGGGCCTGAGATGAAAGGAACCTTAGAAAATGTGTAAATAAGCCTCAGAACTTAGAGACTGTGCACCGGAAATAAAGACTAGTGAAGGTGAGAGATGTGGGCCTTTTGAACAGGCAGGATAATCAGGACAAAAAAGGTGGACATGAGAGAAAAACGTGCCCTTAATTAATTTACAGAATTAAATATATCTTGAATTCTAGGGAACCAAACACAATTGTGATTAGACCAGTCTGATAGGGCCGGAGGAGCCAGGGAGAGTCCAGGGTTTTCCCAGGAACCTTACGTAGAGCCAGACGCTGTTCTCCCTTCCGGACAACCTGAGAGCACCCTTGCCTCCTCTTCTCTAACACCTTGGGGGCAGCAGGCATTGGCTCCTGGGCTTGAGAGCAAATTCTCTGTGTCCTTGTGTGAGCTGTTACCTGTTAGTGTTACTTGATGAGGTTTTCGATTTTATTCCATCCCTTATTCCAAAAAGGATGCGAAGCCTTGTTTAATGGATGATGCTCCATACGGTGACTGTTGTAGTCCTGGCGAGGCTCTGTCCCCGAGGCCTTTCTTTCTCTTGGAGATTGGGGTGGGGGCAGCAGTAGAGTGTCTGCCACTCTGACATGGGAAGAAAGACTCCGGGGTGAGAACCACCCATCCCAGGGCTTCCATGAGCTTCCAGGAGGCCATGAGAGCATGTGACAGAGCCAGCACACGAGGAACTGGGGGGCTTGGATTTTAGTCCTGTCTCCCGCTGGCGGCTGTATGAGCTGAGCATGCTTCAACATTCTGGATCAAAGATCTCTCCCTCTTCCTATTTTCTCTTTAACAAAGAGCTGGAAGAGTGGTTCCCACAGGATTTGCCAGCTTCTTTGGGTGGTGGGGTGGGGAGGGGGGAGGGGTAGAACACGTTGTTTATTTATAGTGCGGGTTCCTGCCCCTCCCTTCTGACCTCCTGCATCAGAATCTCTAGGGATGGGGCCTGGAAGTTTGTATTTTTAATATGCGTCTCCTAGTGGATTCTGACACCCAGCCAGTGGTAGGAAGTACTGAGACGGTGCCTAGGGACCCTTCCAGCTAAACAACGGAGACCCCATTTTGCAGACCACTCCCAGGTGTGCTCTCTGCACGTGTACCATTTGTGGCTCCTAGAACAGACCTCCCTTCCCAGTCAGTGTTTGGGTGCCCTCCGTGAGGTCCTGTTGGCTGGTGTTCCTTTGGGGCACAACCCCTAATGCCGAGAGGTCTAAGGTTCTACAAAATGCACCTAGGGAGAGAGTTAGTGACATTTATAAAACAGTGTGCGAAGCTAAAAGAAAGGACGGTTAGAGTGGGGGGCAATAAGAGGGAAGACACAGATTGATCGGGGGACCTCTCAGGGAGGGAGATCTGTGTGCAGAGGCAGGAACGACATGGGGTGCTGTCTCCTTACTCTCGGAAGCACTGACTTTGTGGGAAGCTGGAGACCTAGCATGGCCTTGCCACCCGGAAGTTTCTTTCCTTAGAGCGTAAACGGTCTCCTTTCTATGAGTACAAAGTTCTCAAGGCTGGGGTGCAGATCGAAAGCAGAGCAGGGAACTTAGAATGTGGTGGCTACAAAAAACGCTTTGAAAGTCCTGTTGACTTTCTCTGGCCACGGCACCTGTGACAAGGATATTTGCCTTCATATTAAAAACAACAAGAAGGAAAGGGGAGAAAAAGAGATATACTTTGGATTACATGACCTAGACACTCTGCTGAGGATTTTTTTTGGTTTTGCTCTTCATTTTTGTTTTTAACTTTCAGAATTACTTGCTTGCTTCCTCCTGTTCATAAAAGGAATAGAATTTTATTGGAAGTGGAAAATACATAAAAGCGAAGAAGATGACCTGACCCAAAAGTATACCCTTAAAGTATATATCTCCTTCCAATTTTTTTAAAAATAGGGCTAAAGACTTTAAAAAGACAGTCCTCTGTAATTAAGAAATTTGTTGGGGCTGGCCCCATGGCCGAGTGGTTGGGTTCACGCGCTCCACTTCAGCGGCCCAGGGTTTCGCCACTTCAGATCCTGGGCACGGACATGGCACCGCTCATCAGGCAATGCTGAGGTGGCATCCCACATAGCACAACTAGAAGGACCCACAACTAAAAAATACACAACTATGTACCGGGGGACTTTGGGGAGAAAAAGAAATTTGTTGTTCCTGTTACCCTCACCCCTCCTCCAGAACTACAGGTCACCTGCCAGTCAGACTTGGTGGGGCTCATTACTAGCTGTGCATCGGTAATGATTTACTTTGTGGGCCAGTAAAGGTATAAACTGTCCTCAATTCAATTCTCATTTCCCCCTGCCTCTATCAACCGATTATTACTACATAGTTAATCTTTGACGAGATAAAAGCCTACTTGAATGGTTTTTTATAAGGAGTCCTTCTCTATGGTTGGAGATGCCCTAATCTCCTCTCTTTCCCAGACAAAACTTGGCATTTGAAATCCTACAAATGTGGTTGAGCAAAGAGCTGAATGTTCTTGTATTCCTTTGATTCAAGGCCATAATCGCAGCCTCTCTTTTAACTGTGTGTGCATTTCAAACTGTGTATATCATGGGTCCATGGGCTAAGAAAGTTGCTTTTGTTTAAATTAGGTTGGTTTTACTCGTTTTATTCAGCAGACGTTTACTGAGCCCATACTCTGCAGAGAACTGTGATTCCGTGCACCTGAGAAGCGACAGTTGAGCAAAGAAGGAATGTAGATAGAGAACTAGCATAGGTCCCGACATGTTTAGAAAACTCTCCAGTGTCCTGAAAACCCTGTCACCCCGTGGTAGGCATATGTTCAAAGTGGATGAGGATGAGGAAATGATATCTGACTCGTAAGTTCCATCTTTCATTTCCATGCATAATATTTAAACAGCTGCCAATGCAAGTGTATATAACAGACCATCACAGTCTGGCCAGCGCGCTGAGGCTCTTCGTAATAGATGCTTATAGTAGGTAATCACTGAATCCCCAAGAAGTGTCTTATTTCAGAGATAGATACCAAATAAAAACAGCATCTGCACTGCTTCTCTTCTAAGGAGTTTGCAACTTTCCTTATAGCGACCTTGACTTGTAAGAAATTCCAGTAGGCTTGTGTTAAAAACTCTTGGGAAATTTGTCTTGGCCCTCTTCCAGTGTGAGCACTTATTCTGAAGGGGGTCCTGAAACGGGCAGTGGGGAAGGTAGTTCCTGGATTTTGTTGTGTGTCTTTATGGTGTATATTTTAGAACTGCTGAATTTTAAAATATTTTAGTTCCTTTATAAGGCCTCTTTGAGAAATTGGCCAGGAGAAAGAGGAACTGAGACTCCTGAGTCTGATTTCTGGCTGTGCTGCTCTTGCCTTATGTGGCTGAGCCTGGGTAAGTCTTGTCGTCTCTGTCGTACATCAGGCCCCCACTGAGGGAGTTGTCTAATGAAGGTCTCTTGTAACAGTCAGGTAAAGCTGGTGTGTTGAAATCTATGGAAGAAAGGAACCAAGTGAGAGAGCATTTGCTAAGGGTCCGTCTGTTCGATGAGGTTTGTGGGTGTGGATTTGCATTTACACTAGTGTGAACATTCACAGTAGAAATCAGTGTGTGAACTGAGAACTCCACAGTTGACTGGGGCTGGTTACGCATTTAAAGGTAGCTCACCACAAGGTCTGGGTTCCTGACTGAAATCAGAGTTCCAGTCTCAGCCACTTCCCGAAGGCGAGACCGTCTCCTCTCTCCACCTCTGACATGCCTTTCGCTCTCTCTGCCTAGGCTGAAGCCGATGTGGCCTCTCTGAACAGACGCATCCAGCTGGTTGAGGAAGAGCTGGATCGTGCCCAGGAGCGTCTGGCCACAGCCCTGCAGAAGCTGGAGGAAGCCGAGAAGGCAGCAGATGAGAGCGAGAGGTGAGGACGCCCCATCCAGCCCAGCTCTTAGCACAGGCCTTTCCTCCTGGGGGAGCGGGAGGGCTTCTCCAATATTTGGAGCTAAGAGTTTTCCCATCCCTTGGTGGGATCATTTCCTCACTTGGTCCCGGGTGTAACTATTGGTTTTGTTCATTTAACATTAGTCGGACACCTATGTGCAAAGCACTGTTTTCAGCCCCCAGATTACAAATAAGAAAGAGATCCTATTTCTGCCCTCGGAGAGCTCACCATCCAGCAACGGGGATGGACGTATAAACGAGAAATTCTAGGGGTAACATTGGTTCTTTTGTTCCTGCTGACCACAGGACTGCATTTTTTCTGAAAGATAACTTGATTTTAAAATGCACCAAAGAAAGGCTCAGGCCTCGGTGGGCTGTTGCTTGTCGAATAGCCCAAATAGGTAGAAGAGAAAGCACAGATAAAACAGAAACATGATCTGCAAAAGTAAATTGTTATGGACTTAGTAATGCTGATAAGACACATGCGCCCACTTGAAACAGTCAGGTACTCGTGTCTTCTGAGCCCGCTCCCAGTGTAACCTGGCTGTGCCTGGCTTACTGCTCCAAGATTCAGCTTTGTGGTAGTAAAGGAGAACCGTGGCCACATAGACCAGCACAACTTCATATATTCTGGAAGGCATTTTCTCTTATGCTCAGCTGTTCAAGTTAATGTATTCATATTGCATAGAAGCACCCGGTGAGACCCGAAAAGAGTTCTGATGCTTGAGGGATGACAAAGTGGTGTGGTGACTCAGAACACTGGAAGTGTATTGTCTGTACTGTGACCAGGGCAGAAGAATGCAATCCATTATTTTGTCCATTTCTCCACCTTCTAAGTGAGTTTCTGCTCCCTGCCACCGTGGATGAAGAGTGATTTCAGACTTCGGGATTCAAGAAGCTTTTTAGCTGAAGCTTTCAGCTCATTATTCACTGCTGCTTATTGTTTCCTTCTCCGGCAGGAGTTTTGGAATTCTTTAAGATGACTCATCATCTCCTACAGTGTACACATACCAGTGGTTTTGTGGCTGACTTCTTCCTGAAATACACTTGTTAGTGAACCGAAAAGGCAATCTGATAATCTTAGACTTTGGAGTAGTAAGGAATTTAGAGATCGTTTACTCCAATCCCTTGGTTTTACAGCTGAAAAAACTAGGGCTCAGAGACTGATGTGTCCTGTCCGGAGTCTCAAAGCCAGTTTATGCCGAGGCAAGATTAGAACTCAGGTCTCCTAAAGCAGATCGTAGTGCTTCATCCAAAAAGAGTGGTTTATTTACCGTACTGCCTACTTAGATTTTGGCAAGTGCATGCCATTTTAAATGACTTGTTTTTCCATAAATCTGTAGTGTATCAGAGGTCATTTTACATTTTCCCATAACACACCATGCTATTGGACCCTAATATGCACATCAGCATAGAAGATGGTGTCAGTCCTGTCTTCAACGCCTCTATTATGAAGGAGTTCCACTAAAGGCAAAACTCATAGTTTCACATCTAAAATATTAGGTTGACCCATATGAAATTGCCATTTTGGAGGTCTGAAGTGGTCAAATGTCAGCAGTTTCATGTGGTTCAATCTAATATTTTCACTTATGGCTCCTGGGGTAAGAACAGCTACTTTCCTTGTAGGACAGGGTCCATGAAGATAAATTTGCTTCTGTTCTAACCTTGGTCCATTTTCAAGCCGAAGCTTCCCATTAGGAGAGGGAAGAAATCCCATTATTTACATAGCGAGTAAAGCATGTTGGCTTTTCCTGATTCCATGCCTCCCAGATTCAAACAGCATCCTGACATGGTACCTTCCATTTGACTTTGAATGCCTGGACAGTTTCACCAGTACATTCATGATAAACAGAAGTGTGTGTCTTTTTCTGCCTTCAGCTCTGCAAAGTCTGAACTTTGCAGAAGTCTTTGTGTTTTGGAAAATAAAAGCAGCTCTGTGCTCTATTTTGGGCTGCCAGTTACACTGACCCCACAGATCACGCAGCCTGCCCTGGGTTTGTGGGGGTCAGCCCTAAACCTGGGGTTTCCTGCTTGTCTTCCTTTTCAGAGGCATGAAAGTTATTGAGAGCCGAGCCCAAAAGGATGAAGAGAAAATGGAAATTCAGGAGATCCAACTGAAAGAGGCCAAGCACATTGCTGAAGATGCCGACCGCAAGTATGAAGAGGTCAGATCCTGGGGCCCGAAGCCTCGTGGACTCCCCAGCAGTAGCCCTGGGGGGGGGGGCCAGGGAGAGTGTGCAGCCCTGAATTCTCCAGTGAAATGATCTGCTTCCTTGGCAGAAACGCCTGGTTTTGAGAAGCAGAGTTCCTTTGTCTCCAGAAAATGGTTCTTATTTTGATCCTGCTAGCGGATCCGAGGCTTTATCATGAAGCCAGTAGTAGCACTAGGAGATACCGAAGCTTCCCTGCCCTCCCCCGCAAAGACTGGAGCAAAAGCTCTTTGGCCAGGAGAAGGGAGAGTTGGGCCTTTTGAGTCTTGTGGAAGGAGCCTCTTGCTGTCAGCGTGCAGGCGCTTCTTCCGGACGTGAGTCACCGAGCACCGTCCGCTTCAGGCAGCGCAGAGACGCGGACCATGCCCTCACTCGGGAGATCCACAGAGGCTGTTTTCAGTCTGTCCTCCTCTCTCCTCGAGGTGGTGGAATCCCATTATCAAGACAGGTTCAGGGTGAATCAGCTCCTGGTTGTGTCCCCATGAAGACGACCTCTGTAACAGATCCAAAATGACCATTAAGGTTTTAGTATTTCCCTTACTTATCACATCCTGGGTATCCTGAAAATGGCGTTGACCCTCTTTTATTTTTTATTATTATTGTCGTCATCTCCAGATTACACTGTGCCCATTAATTTTGAAATGCTTCAGAGGATCTTTTCTTCTTACTGGTTCTTTCTCCCACTAAATACAGACTTGGCTTCATTAGTCATCTCACCAGCTTATCTCACGTTAGCTTCTCTTGCTATTTCTGTTGGCACTTCACCTTCCTCCACAAAAAGCAGGTTAAGGTACAAAGCTCTAAATTGATGGAGTTCTTAGGATTATTTTCAGTATTTGCTTGGCAGCCCCCACCTTTTCAGCATAAAACGCGTCATGTCTCCTCATACTGCTATTTTTGAGATTGTGAATTTTGTCTCTCTCCCTCCTTCCAAACTTTGGTCTGGCTGCTGTGTAATTATACAGACTTCACCTGGGTCGGACCTAAAATGAGACTGCCCACTCATCGCTAACCATTCTGGGTCGTTGTAAGCAGAGGCCTCTGGTCTTCTCTCCAGTGGCACTCCTCATGGACAGAGGTTTCTCTCCAGTCCATGGGAAAGAAGATCGTCTTGTTTGTGGACAAGAACTTCTAGGGGCAGATGGATCCAATTCCCACCCCCAAACCCCCTTACTCAAAGCTTCCAAGCCCCATGGTGTGTGTGTATTGTTTGTCCTGCTACAGGTGGCCCGTAAGCTGGTCATCATTGAGAGTGACTTGGAACGTGCAGAGGAACGGGCTGAGCTCTCAGAAGGGTAAGCAGGCCCGGTGCCAGGAGGCCGTGTGTGGGGTGCTGCAGAGCAGTGACTAAACAGCATGACCTTCTGGCAGCTGCACATGTACCTGTTTCAGCTCCGGGCTCCTTATGTGTTGACGTGGATGAGTTACGAGTACGGAACTCGGAGCACTTGTGCGGGGTGTCTGTGTGTGAATGTGTGTATCACCGCATGCCTTACCTGCACACTGATTTTGAGAATGGCCTTGTGCATTTCCTGTGTCCACTAACAGCCAAGTTCGACAGCTGGAAGAACAATTAAGAATAATGGATCAGACCTTGAAAGCATTAATGGCTGCAGAGGATAAGGTACTGATGGCTCATGTGTGGTTTTTAGGTTTAACTGCAACCCAGACGTCTTTCAGCTTCCAATGCCTCCTGGTCCGTTTGGTGTAACGCCTGCACCTTCACTACACCCTCTGCTGTCTTATTTCTTGCTTTAAGTGCTTTCTTTGGGTCCTTTATACTCCTTTGTTTTTCCTTCATAAATGCTCTTTGGTGCAGCCAAAGAAGCAGCCAAATTATCACACTTCAAATTTGTTGGTGTTTGTCACCCTGCCTTCTGCTCTTGCAAGGGGGGCAGTGTCCATGGCAAAATTGAGCATTTTAATACATGATGATTTGGCTACTTTAAGGCAGCCCTTTGTTCTCTAGGACTCGGTTTTCATTTTTTCCCATCCCTCTCCTTTTTCTCTCCTCTTTCCTTTGGCTTGTCTCCCACCCTCTCTGCCTCTGATCGAAAACATTAGCAAATGTGCCGAGCTTGAAGAAGAATTGAAAACTGTGACGAACAACTTGAAGTCACTGGAGGCTCAGGCTGAGAAGGTAGGCCAGGAGCATGGTATGGGGGAAAAGTGTCTTAAGAGCTACTCAAAAGACACACGCTTTTTCTTTTCTGAGGCCCGGCCGATGAAAGCAGTAGTGCATCAGGCATTTTAGTAAATGGAATCGTTTTGAGGTGATTTCCTAATGGTTATTGGCGAACAGATTCTTTTTAATCAAGAATGTATTTTATGTTGAGTATGTGAGTCATCTGTAACAATTTAATTTAAACCAAGTGCCAAATGGATAAGTTATCTTGTTCTTATCTCATGTAAAACAAGAGGCAAGAAAACAGAGAATGTATTGTGCTATGCCATTTGATATCAGGGGCTCCATTACCTCCTAAGAGATCCTCAACATCTGTTGGCTGGGCTGGCGCTTTCTTTGTATTAGAAGACAAGAGTATTGAGTGAGCTGTGGCCTGACATCTGGAATGTTCTTTCTAATTACAGTACTCACAGAAGGAAGACAAATATGAGGAAGAGATCAAGGTCCTTTCTGACAAGCTGAAGGAGGTAATATTATGAGTGTTTTGGACAAAGCCAACTGGATTTTAAATGAGTTTGTTTTTATGGAGCAGGTCAGGGCCTTTTCATTTTAAAGTTATGATGATCCAAGTCAGGAATATGCATAGGTGGTCTTGGAGTTCATGTACTGCGCTAGCTGCCGCCTCTCACGGTGGTGACTGACTGGCAGGTAGTATCAGACCCATTTTATGGGTGCTGAGCTTGGTTTTCATTCTCTGGTTTTCTCTATATTTGTAGCTACTGGAAATATAAACTTCCCAATTTTAATCGAAATAAACTGAATCATTACAGGCTGAGACTCGGGCTGAATTTGCAGAGAGGTCAGTAACTAAATTGGAGAAAAGCATTGATGACTTAGAAGGTAAGACCTTAAGTTTTGTTTTTAATTTAATCCTTATGGTTGAATACTGACCTGGCAAGACAGTTTTCCAATCCACATGCATCCTCCTTAATATACCTCTTTGCTCTTGCACCTTCTTCCTGTCTGTCCTTCGGGGTTTTCATTCTCTGGCTCTAAAACTCTTGGGCCTGAGTCCTCTGCTCACCAGATGATTGTTAGCCAGCAGACAGGGTACATCTCTTTGTAATGCCAGATCCATCCAACTTTACTAGACACCCTTCAGGAGTGTGGCAGGTTTATTTTTCATAGTAGGTGAGGTGGTTGTAAGTGGGAAAGACTCTAGTGTATTGTCTGTCTTTAGTCACCCCTCCTAATTGACAGAATGATATGGATTTGTCTTTAGACAGAACTCATCTTCTTCCAAGTAGGAATTCAGTGTAAGGGTGTAGGTGGGGATTTTTTCAGCCATTAATGATCTTGGCAAATGCTCTATACCCTGAAAGGGGGTGGGGATAATAGGGCATTGTATTTTGAGATTATACTTAAGCATTTCTCCCCTAAGATATTTAAGGTTTTGTATTAGTAACACCCACTGTATCTCACAGAAATCCTAAATGTTGAGCTCTGAGGCTTGTGAAGGGTCAGCTGTGGAAAGGAAAGAAAGAAAAAGTACATAGAATATGTACATCAGAGGCAGAAGGGGCTAGAGAGGGACTGGGGGTTGGTGCAGATGATAGCCAAGCTGACGGAGAAGAGAGAATGATGAATGGTTACCAAACAGTCTGCCAGAGGGCAGCAAAGTGGGAAACTTCCATCATGACAAACTGTAAAGTGCAGGCTGGGCACACTACCACCGTCAAAAGTGTGGCTGTCGGCGCCTTTCAAGCCCCCTGGGCCGGTGACAGGACAGCGTGAGCAGGAAGACCACAAGAGGAGTTTACACAGCACTGAGAGATCGACGGCTTAGTGGTCTAGTTTGTCAGGAAGTCAGTGGCCCGAAAGTGGAGCCAGAGAAGGATTACAGACTATTGTCACGAATTGTTCTTCCCAAACACTGCCCTTGGATATTTTTTCCACTGTTTATAGTTGCAGGCGGCTGACTACTCCACCGTAATTAAAATATGGCCCTATAAAAGAAAAGTGTTCTCTTACCCACCCAGGAGACAGCCTTCTGTGGTTTTGTTTAGGGCTTAACATGGTTTACTGATAAACCTACCTACCCTATTTGTTATGATTTTCATATTGAGTCTTTCTTGTTTTATTTTCTAATGGGTTTTGTTCTTTTTGTTTTTGTTTCAATTCATTTAAAAACAAAACGCACGCCTCCTGCACTGGCCACCTGCTGCGGCACCAATTCCTTCATGCATTGCCCTTTTCTTGCTGCTGTGTCGGGATGGTGTCCATGCCACCCTCACTCACCCTCCATCTCTTGATCACTCTCCATGTCCTTGCACCTCTGCCTTCCACTTCCTGGTCATAGACGAGCTGTACGCTCAGAAACTGAAGTACAAAGCCATCAGCGAGGAGCTGGACCACGCTCTCAACGATATGACTTCCATGTAAATGTTCATCCACCCTGCCTGCTCACATTCGCGCCCTCACGCTAATACGATAAACTCACCGCTGTTTCCTTCTGTACCTCCAGAATCTCCATCTTTGCACCTTTCTGTTTACTCTCTGCGTAATCTAGGCTCGTCATTGTTTTTTCACATTCTACTAATATAAAGGCCAAGTAGTTTAAGGATCTGTACAAGTCATTTTCCTTTCAGAATCCGTTTATTTCATAATCTCTGAGCTGGATTGTTCCCACCAAGCAGTGACCTGCAATATGAATGACTTGAGCGCTATCTTTTTAGGAAGTTAAACGAGGCTCAAGTGAAATTAGAAAGCTGTGCAGTTGTGCAGGAACTTCCCTGGAAATAACAATTGGTTTCCGGAAATTCAATGAAATACAATGTGATCATTTTCATAAAAGAAATACACATTTAAAGAGCCCTAAAGTGTCAGGTTACTGAGGTTCTGAGGGAAAGGAAATTGATCAAATGCAGCCTGAAGAATGGTGCTGTAAAAGATCATCTCTTCCTCACTTTTAAGAATTCTAGACAGAAATGAACCCTCTGCTGAGTAACCAAGCCTTTAATATTCTGTATTTATATAAAAGGAATTAAAATGCAAAACACACCACAAACTGTGTCAAACACATGGGAAATAGAACACAGATTGTGCAATATGAGTTTGGGAGTTAATGGCCCAGCTTTTTCTATGGTGAGGCAGTCAGTGTTGGAGTAGATGGTCTTGTTCTCATGAGAACCATGAGCAGACAGAAGTAATTTACATATTACTAACCAAACCTAAACATTAAACTTACTCTGCCTCTTTAAATTCTAACCTGGAATGTTTCACCGAGTATGCTCTTCGTTCTAATAATATAGCAGCGAATTCCTTAGGAGCTGGAAATTTCGTTTCCAGGCCCACCTGTCATTCCTTTACCCATGCAGAAAAATGGTAGCTTGAAGAGTGTGGCATGTGCCTGCTGCCTTACAGGTTATAGAATCTCCACATTGCCCTTAGAGACACGACTGTCACCATGGAAACTAGAGAGCATTCCATGACTCTTCTCGCATTTGTAAATGAGGGGGTGGACCAGATCACAGTCTCTAAGATCTTTTCCAGTTACTAAAATGTGGTGATTCTATGGGGAAAACGTTTAGCATCAAATACAATTAAATATTCTGAGAGAGGGGTTTCGCTTAAAATTTGCTTTTAAATTCTGTTCATGAGTCTTTAAATGGACCCTTACCCAGAGGGGGCCTGTGACCCCTCGGGTCCAGACACTGGGGGGTAAAGATGGCTGTCCTCCTGCAGGTGCAGCTGGCCGCGGGTTTTGCATGTCTGCTTCTCACCTGTGTTTCAAGTGCTGTTCTCATCTCTGAGTTCGGTTTTCCTTTTTTCCATTTGTGCCACTTTTTTTCTTTTTCTCCCATCTTTTCTCTTCATGCAGATAAGTTTCTTTGCTTCACTTCTCCCAAGACCCTTTCATCAAGCTGGACGTTCCACCTCTCTGAGCTCTGCGGTTTGTCTCTTCTCCAGCTGAGCCTGGCTCTTTCTGTCAGCTTCCTGCCGTAGGGCCAGGCACACACTGTGCTTTCTATTGTACAGAAGCTCTTCATTTCAGTGTAAAATAAACACTGTGGAACTGTTTCTGTTGGCTTTTCTTTTTACTTCTTATTTATTGACATTTTAGTTCCAAAACCGAATAAAACTACAAATCTGCTTCATGCATATGAGGGTTAATTTTTGGCTGCTGCTTTTTTTTTTTTTTTGCTTTTTCCCTTTTCATTCTGAACGTTATACGTTAATATCAAGAGTTCCTAAAGCAGTGGTTCCTTGTGGAACTTTTAAAAAAAATACCCATGCCTGAGTCCTTTTCAGAGTTTTGGTTTCCAAGGGTTAGAGTGAGGCCTGGGCATCTGTATTTTTTAGGGATTGTGACGGTTCTGGTGTACAGTCTGGGTTGAGAACGTCTGCACAGAGGATGCTGCTTGTTGGAATTGAAAGATCCACCTTAAGCAGTGTCTTCCTCTGCCAGAGGTTTATTTAGTTTGGGGTGTGGTGAGCCTTCTTTGTTGATATTTAGATGGCCCTGCGTGGGAGGACGTGATTAACTAATGAATGGCTCCCCAGCCATCCCCCATTGCTAGGAATTTACATATCGAGAAAGGTGAAAAAGAACTTGGATTCAAATCACGTAAGTTGAGATCCTTGATCATCCGTTTTTTTTTAGCACAAAGAACACTTAAAACTTTTTCAAAGGATATTCATTACTCAGCCACGTTCATTTCAATCATGAAATGACATCTTAGGTTTACTAAATGTGATTACTATGTTCAAGTCAAAATTGATTGTACATACAGAATCTTTGTGTTAATAGCTGGGTTTTTTCATTTGTGAACATTTTTAAAGTATAGCAAATGAAGGTGATTCTCTCCCCGTCGGCACCCCCCGCCAAATTAGTTGGTGGAAATTAATTCAGAATACAGTTCTGTTTTATTTGGGCTTCACTGTTTCACTTCAAAAACAGCAAGTAAGTGATTAAAAACACACACAAACATTGCAAAATTAGAACTTTAAAATGATGTGGACTTTTGTTTCTTAATTCCCAACATTTCTCCTTCCTCAAAAGTCTGGCTGTATTTCTGCTGTGTTTTAAATGTGGGTGATCTTCATCTGTTTGTGTGTAGGTTTTGTTAGCCTAAGAGGGTTGATGTACCACTGTAGTCAAATAAATTTGTCATGTCAATCACTCAACAGAGACGTCAGAGCAGAGAAAAGAATACCCTTGAGAGGTCTGTGACATGAGTATTTTAGCAGTGCTGTAGTAGACTTCCATCAGGACGGTGTCTCTCCCTTGAGAATATAAAGACGTCTGGAATTGCACGTTTTTCTTTTCCTAAGGCTCCTTGGGACTACTTTTGACCATGATTCGTGCTTGGTTCTTCTTTAAATTCAGGGTGATAGACGTGGGCCCTTCTCTGAGTAACCCTGCTTCCTGCCATAGACAAAATGGCCAGAGTGCACGTTCTGCTGAGCAGATGTTTTGTTAAGTCTGAGGGCACATCTGTTTTTTGGAAGCTTTTCCAGAGACTTTCACACTTTCTCTAAGTACAGTCTACAAGGGGAAATAGGAAACTGATGGATTGGGAAGGCAAATCTGGAATAGCCCAAGAAGGTGTGGGCATGCAAGAGGATAAGTAGCAAGTTGAGTTTATCGAGAAATTGTCAGAGCCCAGCCTTCTAGTTCAAAGGGGTAGGCCACAGCTACAGCTGCTGCAAGAGCCTTGGTTGGACCAAATCGAAAGCATTGCCAAGTCTGGGCACTAGAGGCCCCAACACCTGGGAGGTGGGACAGGAGGGGAAAATACTTCCAAATATGTAACGATTTCTGATCCCTGCCCTCAGGCTACCCAGGTGTCTCAGCTCCATGGCACCTGAGGTGGAGCAGGTGCAAAGGAGGATGTGGTAGGGACAGCTGTCATTTAAGCTCAGTTCACATTGATTCCCTAAGGTTTCTCTGAAGTTCTTCCATTCCAGCTTGGCCAAACATTGGCTCAGCAGACTGAGACATCCTGCCTGCCCATTTGGATACTTCCCCATGTGAGGCTGTGAGTATAGTGGCAGGATTTCGGTTTGCAAGACACTGTGGAAAGTAGTGGAAGATGGTCAAGAGATGAATCAGAAATGTTCTTGGCCTCCACGAGCTGGCCATCTTGTGAGAAAACAGATGAGTGAAGCAAGTCTGAACTAATAGGTGATGTGCGTTTAGAGTCAGCGAGGAAGAGAGAATAATTGGAAGCCATCTGCAGGAGGTGACATTTGACCAGGGTTTTGAGTATTCAGAAAATTTGGATGAGCAAAGAGGACAAGGCGGCAGATACTCCAAGCTAGAAAATAGAATATGAACATAACATCTTTCCCATCTCCTACTGTTTATCAGAGAAAGTTAAAATAAGAATTGATCAATTTCCCAACAGACATTGGGCTGGAGACTGGACATTTTCATTTTCCCCAGGGCTGGGCTTCTCAACTTTTCAAGATCATTAGAGTTTCTGGGTCCGGGTGTTACTGTCATTCACAACAATTTTGTATTCTCCGGCTTTTTGTGGTAGGTGCCAGGTTCTTGTCATTGTCTGGGTGTCCCTTGGACCGTCAGATACAGACTGACTCTTATCAGTACAGACAGACTTCCTTGCAGATTACATACCAATGTGTAAAATTTATATCATACTGGTCTCCATGTAGATGTTTGAGATTTTGTTCATTTTACACACATCCGTCTAGCGCCAAACTCGAATGCCATCCTCTTCAAGAAGTAAGCAGATAAATTTGAAGTCAGTTTTGAATGGAGATAAGTGTTCTTTTGCTGTTTGGTACACACACCCAGTAGCAAAGCTGGACAAGAGTTCAGAATTCGTACCCTGTGTCATGGTGACTGGGGGAGGGGCAGCGAGCTTAGTTCTGCATTTCAAAAAATGTTAATGCAGTATCTGTTGCCCCCTCTTGGTATTACCTGAAAGGAAAGCCAGCCCCTGGAGTGGACATGAAAGGGGGTCCAGGAAGAGGTGAGCAGCAATGGGCAGGTTGCGGTGTCACCGTAAGATCACCACTGAGCCCTAGCAAGGAGTGGGTGACATGCTGGGCTTGCCTCCAGCCCTGCCTCAGTTCCTCAGCTTTTGCCAGAAACTGCTTCCAGCTCACACACAGTGGTTTTTGTAGGTGCAGGAGAAACATCCACTCTTTCTCTCCCTCATATCTTGTTGCTCCCCTCCCCTCCCACCAAGAGAGAGGTCCTGGCTTCCCCTAGGTCTGCCAGGCCTTTACCATCCACCCTCCCTGGGGACGGGACCGATGACCATGGCGTGAGGGTAAACCGCTCAGCCAGTGCCCTGTGTCTGAGGTATCTCTGTGTTCTGTCTGTTAACTTCCTCTCACCAAGTCTAGCTAACCTCTCTTCCTTCTCCCTCTCTCTTCTGCTAACCTGCTTGCTGACCTGTACAGATCAACTCTACCAGCAACTTGAGCAAAACCGCCGCCTAACTAACCAACTAAAGCTGGCCCTGAATGAGGATTAAACTTAAATGGGAAAGAACTGGGGCTGAATTCTAGGAGTGGAGCCCTGGGCAGGAAACCTCAGACTGTCGTACCTCCAACTAATAGGGTTGAAAACAGTGGCTTTCTGCAGAAGTGTACGAAAGCAGAGGGAAGCAGCTGAAAGGCTGGCCTCGCCTGCATTATCTTCTTCTATCTCGAGTATTAAGTTCTCTTTAATCTCAAAACAGCTTTTATGGTAAAAATACATATGTATATGGATAAATATTTATAACGATCAATTCAGCACTCCTCTTTGCAACAGCAGGTCCTCTTGTTTGAACCGAAATATAATGAGAACCAAAAAAAAAATGTTTTCTATTTCCTACAGAGAACTGAGTCCTGCTTTAAGTTAGAAAGCCAAAGCAGGGGGGGTGTGTATATATAATATATATATATATAGTTATATATATATATTATATATGGGGTATGGTATATAATATATATATTTCTATTACATATTCATATTCCTAAGATCTTAATACCTGGTATAGTGTTTGAAATATGGTTAAATGTACCTATGCTTGGGCAGAATAGCTTTTGAAAACAGGAGCTCATGTCAGAAGGCCCTGGTTGAAAGGTATGCTTTGATTCCGTCTGATGGTGATGTTGGAGTCTGGTGAGACTGTCATGCTAATGATAAATAGAACACTTTAAGAGTAGCAAGGGGATGTCGTACTAAGTGTGCATGAAATGTTGATCCTTTTTTTTAATGAGCAACAGAAATAAGTGATTTCAAACGCTGTCAGAAAACCATTTACATCATCTTTGTTTTCTGCGAGATTGTGCCACAGCACTTCTCTCAGACTTTTCACTGCCTGTGACTCAGAAATGTCTGCTGTTATTAACTCCATGCTGCAAGCACCTCCCCGTCCCCACGGCACACGGCCGGCGAACCGTCACCTGACCCCACCTGAGCTTTGTTCTGAGTGGGTTGCTGGTGAGGGTCCGCCTGGCCGCTCCGTGAGAACCCGCTGTGCCTGTGGTTCCTCCTGGTCAGAGGCGGCTTCCCCCTCGTAGGTCCTTGTGTGGAAATGAGGAGTGTCCTCCCAGCATGCCTGGTTCTAATCGTCTCCCCCGTGTCTGTGATTGATGTTCGCCTGCCTAAAGGCACAAACCACCCTTGTGTCCGAAGCGCAGCTATTCATGACTTAATTTTCTAATCCCACCACAGAGAAAGTGGCTCACGCCAAAGAAGAAAACCTTAGTATGCATCAGATGCTGGATCAGACTTTACTGGAGTTAAACAACATGTGAAAACCTCCTTAGCTGCGAACCACATTCTTTCATGTTGTGTTTGTTGTTTTTTTTGTTTTGTTTTTAAACACCATGCTTACCCTGAAACCCCGTAAATGCATTTTTATTTACTTTTACCACTGTCACAGAAACATCCACAACATACCAGCTAGATCAGGGGGTGGGGAAAACACACACACACAGAGGCAAGCCCCTGTCAGGGCCATAAAGATTCCAATGTGCCATTTCCCGGGTTGACGTTGCCACACTTCGTAGAGAGTTTAGCAGCACGGTATGCTTAGTCAGTCTAGGAATCCTCACTAGATAGAGCAGGAAGATTTCCACTCGAAGTGCCAACGACGCGTTCATCAGGAAGATTCATGTTGGAAACACAATCAGGTGTGGATTGGTGCTACTTTAAACAAAAGGTCCCACTGTGGTCTTTCGTTCCATATTGTACAATTTAGAACTCCGTCCAACACTAATTTATTTTGTCTTGAGTTTTACTATGAGATGAGACTATGGATCCTGTATGCCTGAATTCACTAAAGCCAAGGGTTTGTAAGTCACGCTGCTCTCTTAAGACCATTTCCTTCTAATTGGCACACTTGCAGCTCATTACAGCTCGTAGGACAGCATTCGATGTGGGTTTCCACTCTTCATTTCTTGATGTTAAAGTGAAAGATTTAGGCACTACATATAATTGGTGAAGAAAAACCATGTTCTTAAGAGCTATAACTATATGTAAACATTGTATAATGATGTGGAATAAAATGCACAATGTAGGACATTTTCTAAATCTGGTGGTCCTGTCGTTTATTTTTACTTCGTGAACTTTAGATCGCGTGATTGACCCACCTTCCCTGATGGGTGGTTTCTGAAAGCAAAACGATATCCCAGAGTCCAGGGGGAAACGGGGTTCCATGTGTTACCCTCCCAGAACGACTCAAGGCAGCATCCCTTCGGTCAGTTCAAGTTACAACCCAGCAGGAAAGACCCTTTCCAGAAGACTACCTCCAGTTATCGTCTATTGTCTGTATCTGCACTTCCGTGTAGGCCCTTCAGCAGTGGTTTTACTACTTTGATGACTGTGCCTCATGTGTTAGTCTTCAGCAGTGCCAAACATACAGATCAACAAATTATGGGGTAATGCACCAAATCTGCTTTGTCCCCAGCAGTGTGATTCTACTTGAAAGTACTGCTTTAAAGGGTCTTTGTGATTTTCTGCTTTTACATTGAGTTCTAAATTCCCAATACATCGGTCATTTTCTCAGAGTAGGAAACAAAGTATCACAGATCACTCTTGAAGACTTGAAGCGAACCAGATAGATGAGCAACAACATTAGTTGGCCAAACTTGTGCTGCAGGGAGAAAAGGCATTCTCAGGAAAAGTGAACACAGCAGAATGGAGATAAACGAGAACGCCTGTGGATGCTCGGGTAGTATTTCCGTTGAAAAGTATTGAACATCTCGGTAGCTGTTTTTCCAAGCCCTTTGACCAGGTTTTTCTCCACAGAAAAAAAAGGGTATAAGGCAAATCAACGCTCTGGGTCTTGACCTTGCCGCATCTTCACCTTCCTGGGCTCACCCTGCCCTCCTCAGCTAGACAGACAAGGCCTCTCTGCCTCACCTCTAGTCCTAGAGGCCTTTCCTGGACCCAACACTCCCACGTTGGGAGCCAGATCTGGCTTCCCTTTTACTAGCTGCCTAGCCTGTCAAGTTCCTAAAATCTGAGATTCTTCATCTATGAAACGGGGCCAAGATTAGCACCTAGCACATAGGTTATCATGGGACTCGAATGCATAACCCGTGTAATGAAGTACATAGCACAGCCCCTCAGGTATGCTTGATAACCACCAACTGCTGCTGTCCTCAGCGTGCCACACGTGCTCCAGAGACCACCACAGAGGATGTTTAATAGCCAGCTTGGGACAAGCTGGGACAACACTCCCTTTGCCCCAGATGATGATGATGATTGTTAATACTATTCTCGGATGCCATACGCCAAAACCTGTAATAAGCACCTTACCCATGTTATTTCAGCTTCACATCAGTCCCCGTTTTACTAACACGGAAACAGGCTCAAGGAGGCTGGGTCAACCTACTTGCAGCCCTGTAGCTCACAGGGAGTGGGGTCGGACTTCAAACCTAGGCCTGTGTGACTCCATAAGCCCCGTTTGGATTCTTCCACTTGTTTCAGATGTTTTACAGCAGAGGAAAAGCAACTACTAGACATAGGGAGAAAGAGACGAAGCAGCAATTTCGGCTGGGAGGGTGTAGGCTGAGTCAGCTTGCAGCTGTCATGACCACGAGTGGTTTATCGCCTGACTTCCTCCCTGGGTTCCAGGGGTCAGAGGAAATCCATGAATTAAGGAAGCATCATGCAAGTCGAAGAATGATTATTACCTGATCTTTCTGATAAATAGAAAAGGGAGAACACCCAATCTCCATGTGGCACACACCTTGGGTCTGTCCCCAGGATGATAACCTGAACAGGCCGCTCGGAGATTAGGGCTCCTCATTGGAGACACTGAGGCTGGAAGCTGATGTGGTCACCATTTAGAAAACCATGAAGTCAGAGAAAGAATTCAAGATTCGTGTTCTAAATTCCATTGCTGAAATTTAGCAGGCCCGGATTTCAGAAGGAACAGCTGGCAAAGTTGCCTTATTCAGGGTACAACACTGGAACTCCACAGTGAGAGAAGGGGTACAGGGTAGGAACATAAGTGCCTTCCAAAAACGATGACATCTGTGATGAGAGTGCTACAGTCGTTTATTAACAAAAAAGGAAAAGTGCTTTGTGGATACATTCTGAACTTTTTGAGACTGGCATTGAAGGCAACGATTTCTCTCCTTATTGCTTCTAGAGGTTGTTAGCAGAAACAAACTCAAATTTTGGGGTATGCTAGTACATATCTTCCAGAGTTTAATACTTTGGGCCTGATTTTTCTTTTAATCTAGGGGGAAAAAATGTCATTTTTATTTGAACAAATGTCTGAGTGTATGTTAACAATTTTTCCAACTTGTCAACACTATTTGTAGAAGTGATTTTTTTTTTTCTTAATCTGCAGTCAGATGTACATACAGAAAAAAAAATCTGAATCCTCCAATCAAAACAAAAAGCACTGGGTGCTCAGGGAGCCATCATTCCCAGAATTGGAGACAGGGATTTGGAAAGAAATTAGAAATGTCAGGCGGCGCAAGAAATGTTCCTTCCATTATATATACTTTTTGACATTGAGAGTTTTCAGAGCTACATTCCTTCGACAGATGTCATAAATTTTGTGTGCCAAACAATGAATGAAGCTATGTTGAGGGTTCGCTAATAGGAATGCAACTTTTGCCAAATTTTTGACAAATGGGCATCGACCTAGAGGATAAGATTGGTTCCTGCTGCCTGTGAGAGTTTCATTTCCATCTGTTACCAAGGCCATGGAGAACAAAGAGTTGAGTCAGGGCCTTATCAGGGCCTGCCAAGGCTGAGGCCCTGACTGGAAATGCTGATTCAGAGCAGGAAGGAGGCTTGAAATCCTCAAGGCCTAGAGAGGTTCAGTGGCTTGTTCGAGGTCATTCAGCTGGTTGAGTTCAACCCCATCCAGTTCAGCTCTCCTGCGGGGTAGGCAGTGCAGTGCCGGGTCTGGAAACCAGAGGGGCCAGCATTGCATCCTGCTCCACCTCTCACTGAGACCCCGGGTTAATTTTACCACTTGAGCTGCAATTTCTTCATCCTTAATGGAGATGGTTCGCCTAATTCCCATCCCTACACACTTCCTCACAAGTAAACGAGGTGGAGTGTGTATAGTGCCCCCCTTCTCCTCTGGTCCTCTTTCTGCTCCTCAGCCCTAAGCCCTTCTCCCCCTGCATTGAGTCCTTAGGGAAACCGAAAGTAACTTTTTTCCTTTTGAAATGAAAATTCCCAGTTCCATCCCCCTGGAGGCCATTCATTGCATTGCAACAGTACCCCATACATAGAAGACATTCAAAATACATTTGTTAATTGGACAAATGGTCCAGACACAGACCCTCAAGTAACAATTCCGGAGTCATTAATCACCTGTGCACAAGAGGCAAAGAATGTTTCAAAGCGATAGATTCACATTTCATTTCTAAGCAAAACACTGGCCCTTGGAAATGAGTTTCTGTTGCTGCATTCTCAAACTGTGTTTGGATGTGTTGCTGAGTTGAGGGGAAGCGGACAGAATAAGGAATACTGCTCACAGGCCTTGCAGCCGGTGTAAGTGAAGGCAGGTCAGCCCCATTCATTCTTGAGGAGCCTCTGGGCAGGACCACTGTGGAACCCACTGTCTCCAGAGGAAAGCTAATGATGGGAAAGGTAAAATGCCCTTTGTGTGTGTGCCCAAGGAAGGACTCTCCTTTCTGTCTCCCAAGGGGCCAACTGGGCGGGAGGCATGGAGGAGCTTCTGGGTGGATGCTTCATAGGAATAGGGGTGAGAGGGGAGCACACTGTGTGATGGTGAGTCTGTTTTCAACTCAGGAGATACTCAGGATTTGAAACGTTGTCTTTCCAGTGGAACTCTTGTTGCTTGGACTCATAAATTGGGTATTAAACTCCCAGGTACATGCAGTGAAATAATATAGCTCTGTGGCCTTCCAATGAGCCAGGTTTCG